TATATATATATATATATATATATATATCTCATGTTGATTATTATTATTATAATCTTATGATAAATAAAACAAAATGATCAATGAATACTGAATGTTCACAAATTACATATAATCAATTAAAGTGATAAGTTGAATTAAATGATTGCTGACTGAGTGTTACATAAACTTTTATAACAACACACAAGTTTTTTCTTTTTTTAAATATCAACACTTTACATAACATTAGATGCTAAATTTTTCAAGCATCACAATTACTAACTAAAAATAACAGATCATATAGAATTGTTGAGCTTTCATTGGTTCATCAATATGATATATTCCTCTTCCTGTAAACCTTTTAAAGATAATTTAATTAATTAAATAATCATATTGTTTACCTCACATGCACTGAAATATGAAACCGTCTTGCTAATTCCTTCCAATGATGAATGATAGAAGTAACCATCGATAGAAGCAAAAAAAAAAACACAAAATTGACCATATTTTATGGGTTATTCTTACTCCTGTAAAACATTCATTTGGTGTATAAATTTTAATATAAATACAATGTTTAGTTTTAATTTATTAAATCCTTTTTTTAAATAATATCTACAAAATTTTTGTTTTTGAAATAATTAACCTTTTTTGTTAGTACAACGAGTATACTTAATATTTCATTAAAATTTATATGAATATCAGGTGAAAAAAAAATTCGAATCATAATATACACATATATGAAATTATGATAATAATTTTACTAACTAATTTAAATATTGTAAACAAAAAAAGAAAAGAAATGGAAGAAATTTTGTTTTTAAATATCGGTATCGAAGGTTCATCCGTTTTAAAAATATCATCATAAGAATGAATGCATAGTAAACACATAAAAAAGAAATATGATAGCTTTACTGCTTAACCAATAAAAATTATTACAACTTTTAGCAATAAAAAAAAAAAAAAAAAAAAAAAAAAAACGATAAAACAAAAAGCTAGCATTCCCATAAAAATGCTTACATTTCTCTAAATTACTTCAAGTATTTCATAAAATAATAAAATCATTTATTGAAATCGCATTTTGTATATATATTCATACATTCATGTATATTTGGATTATATAACTTTTAGGTAAAATTTATTGTTTGCTCTAATTTTTTGCTTATTTAATATATCATCAAATTAATAATTTAATATTGCAAAATTACCGATATAAAAAGAAAGTGGAACATGAATATATGACATAAATAATTAAGATATGGAATTTCAAGTAATATTTCACATTATGTTTTAGATTATGAATGACAAAATTTTAAGAAGAAACAAAAGAAAGTAAAAAATAAAGAAAACAATAATTATAATATTTACTTTACTTATTCCATAGCAAATTAAATATACTTGACTAGAACTATCAACTAATACTCTCTGAATCTTAAATACACAAATTTTAAGTGAACAAAATGAATTCACGCTGTTTAAAAATGTTAACCTAAAATAATAAAAGGTAAGAGAATTTCAATCAATTCATGCAATAAATTATCGTTGAAGTTACTACTGAGTAATGTACTATTTTCATCGCTTGCTGGATTCGAGTATTATAAATTGTAAAGTTTTTTAAATTAAAAATTTCAAAATATTCGCAAGTTTAGCATCTAAAAATCAATAAGTTATTCATTCAGTGAATTCAATTTCTATTTAATCAATGTCACATTTTGCCAAATCATTCAATATTACACCAAATTGCTACTGTCATAATTTTTTCCTCATTGTTAAGAAAAAATAATAAATTCTAACACCGTTTGTTTTATTTTAAGAATTTCATATTATTTTGTGTTTGAAAAGGAATTAGTGAAGTAATATGATAATTTCATTTCATACTACTGCAATAATACTTATAAAATAATGTTCAAACTTTTTGTTATTTGTTTACATTATGAAATTTCATATCATTTCGAACTGTTTTATTTTCCATTTCTCATCAATTTTTCTTTTTTGCATTTTATTCGGATGAAATTTGTTAATGATTCCAATAATATATGCAGTGATTTCTAACTGATAATGAAAAAAACTTAATTGTTGGAATAATTTTGCTGCAATTATTCATATGATTAACAATTAGTATATATTTACTTTTAATTTCTAATAGTCTGATTTTCTTGTTCAATTGCTTTACTACTATTATTATTGTTATCATTATCTTTATCATTTTCATTATTATTATTATCATTGTTACTATTGTCGTCATTATTACTATGTTGTTATTGTTATTCAACATTTCTTCAAACAAATTCGACTTTACTTCGAAGTGAAAAATAGTTATTTCATCAGAATCAATAAAATTTTAAAACGTGAAATGTCTTAAAAGGAATATTTCTCAATTTTTTATTAAATATTACTCTTTGATTTAGAAATGTTATTGAAAAGGAAGAATACTATGTACATAGTATTTTTTTTTTTTTTTTTGTGTTTTTATTATGATAACTATCAGTTTATCAACTTTTTATTTGATTTCTGGAGTAAATTATGTGTACGTAAATAATTAAAATAAAAATTTTTAACAAAAAAAAAATTTTTTTTTTTGTTAAAATTTTGATAAAGAAAAAAGTATATATATTTACATAAATATATATCAATAAATATAAATGAATCATTTTCCATATTTGTTGTTTTTTTATTACTTTTAAAATATTTGATGAAAATGTAAAAGGCATATTTTTGTACGAGAAGATGAAGTATCGAGACATTTTAAGTAATGCAAGAAGCATATATGAATTTTTTTTTTATGGATTCATGGTGGGCTCTCATTGAGGATGCAAGCAAAATAAAGTGAAGAAAAAAATGTGTCGTGGGAGGCGGGGGAGAGAGAGAGAGAGAGAGGGAGAGAAAGGAGACGAAAAAATATTTTTGGGATGCTTAATGGGTGGTCTTCGGGAAAGTGAAGCAAATGTACAGGTAGGTACCGTTTGCTTCTGTATTAACTTTTAGCTTTAGCTTTTTTTTTTTTTTTTTTCATTCTTTCATCCTTTTTAATGTTCGCTTTTTTTTTTTTTTTTTTCAAAACATTCCATTGATAATGATTGAAAAAAAAAAAAAAAAGAAAACATCCTGCTATATTTGGTGGGCATGGGCATATTACCCGGGAAAAAAAAATTATATAAATGATAAAATACAAATAATAGTAATACAGTAATAATTGGAGAGAAAATATTCATACAATAATAAAAAGGAATGAAAGAGAACAAAAAAAAAAAAAGAAAAAAAAAAAGGAAAAAAAGAACTGAAAAGAAATTGAAAAAGAACGGGAAAAGTGAAAAATTTTTTCTTTTCTTTTGCTATTTTTCAAAAATTTACACAAGAAAGAAAAGGAAAAGAATAAATGAATAAATGAATGAATGAATGAATGAAAAAGAGAAAAGTAAAAGGGGATGATTTAAGAATTAGTTAATTTGTTTGATTTGTTGAAATGAAAGAAAAATGAATTTTGAATGGATTATTTGCTTTTAGTTTTAGCAAAAGTTATTCAGCAATTTGTAATGTTTTATCTGTCATTATAAATTCTGCTTATTACAAACAAGAAAATTTTATGATTATAAAGTTAATTTTTTGAAGAATTTTTCAAAAAAGAAATTTGCCAAAACGTCAAAAGTTAAAATAAGCAAAAGTTTAAATGTCAAAAATTTTTCACTTCAGAGTTTTTAATGAAATAAAATAATTACAAGAAACAAACAGTTGTAAACTTTGTTTTACCATTTTCTGATGAACTTAATTTTTTTATTATTATTATATTACGATAAAATATGAAACAAATTAAAATTCCGTGAATAATTAAAAATTATAAAATTTTTAAGGTTTTAACGATTTAAAGAATTGATAATTTAAATAACTTTTAATATAATAAATATAATAAAAAATGATTATTCTTAGTGTATTTTGTAAGCCACATTGATTATTATAAAATTGGTTGTAAGATGAACTGAAGACTTTTTTTTATTTTTTCGTAAATTTAAAATTTACGATAATTTTGTAAATTTAAATCAGCGGAAGCACTTATTAATCATAAACTAAATATTTGGTGGAGTACTTAATTTCAATGCATCTCTGATAATTAATAAATAAAATACCTGATTATTTTTATTATTTAATATAAATTAACAAGCAAATATCCAATAAATAAAAATTTAAACAAAGATTTAATGTAAACAGTGTTGTTTACATGTAAAAATTGTTATATACTTTATTTATGACGCTTTTTCAATTTATTATTTTTTGTTTTTTTTTTTTCAGCTATTCTCAAATTTATACCTTATATCTTCATCACTATGATCTAATTACTGCATATAATAAAAAAATGAATAAAAATATTTGCTTGACAGCAATATCCATAAATACTAAATAGGTCATCCTTTTTTTTTGCTTATATCTTTAGATAAAAAAATTGTTATCATTCAAATAAATAGTAAAGTGGACTTGAATTTTTGTAAATGAAAAAGTTTACACAAAAAATTGTCATTTAAATTTTACGTATTTTGAGATGATAGTAACTTGAAGAAAGCAAAAAAAAGTCAGAAAAAAAAAAGGTAAACAGAAAAAAAGTGAAGTGGTTCCAAATAGAAAAAAAATAAAAAAAAAAAAAAAAAACTAATTTAGAACTGGACGTTTTCTAACTTTATTCCTAAGCTTTTTACCCATCACTTCATTTTATGTTTGTTTAATATATTTCTCAGTTAGGCAATCATTTTTCAATGAGGTATAAAGGAAAGGAATGATAATAGACGAGGAAGGAAAGCTTAGGGAAATGAATATTTACGTTTGATATGTGAAAGAATATGAAATGAAAGTGAATGAGGATGAAAGAGAAAAAAAAATTCTTCTTCAGATAATATAAAAGTCGAAATTTTTGATAGTTTTATTCAAATAAAATCAACAATTTTTACTCAGTAACTGTACGGGGAATATTCATAAGTGTAAATCAACAAATTATTAGCAAAGGAGACAACAGCGAAAATTTCCAGCAATTTTTATTCAAAATGTTTTTTGTAAAAAATTTGCTAATTTTTGCAATTTTTTGCATCTTACAACATTTTGCAGTATGTTTTTAAATTTTAAAATTTTGATTATTATTTTTGCATAAAACATTTCTTAATGCATATGTTAATATTTATTACTTTGTGAATATTTTAATGATAATTAAGATTGAATAAATGATAAACGAAATAAAGCTTATTCCAACTGTTACAAATCTCTTAAATTCTTCAAATTTTCAGTATTTAACGGAAGTATCGGAGGATAAACGAACTCATCGAGTTAAACGTCAGTGTGGTTGTTGTTCATGCTATGGTTCCGGAACATCCTGTGCATGTCCGTCATCATGCCCATGTGCTCCTGGTGCTAGTAGTAATTATGCAACCGGTTATAATAATATAGGATACGGTAGTAATGGTATTAATTTCAATGCAGGATATGGTAGTTATGGTTTCGGTTATAATTCCGGATATCCATATAGCATCGTATGTGTCATTTAACTCATTTATTTTCCGTATAAAAGCAACAATTTTGCAGCAAGCAAATTTTTATTATTACCGAATATTAATATTCGGTAATAATAAACATGTAAACAAAATGTAAGCAGCAACAAAATATTATTAATAGTTAGTTAGTTTAATCAGTTAGTTGCTGATTATGCTAATGCTCTTATTTGTGGTGCCGATGCTTTTAATTGAAAAGAAAAAAACTTTTAGATTATGGTAAAGATATAATTCAACTAAGAATTGTAGTAATTAACTGAGACCTATATCATTTCTTTCCTGAATTTCGAGAAAAAAGAAAGAAGGAAAGTATCAAAAAAATTTTTTTAATATTTGATGTATATTAAAAAATATAATTAAATTTTATTTAGTATGGTCAATACAATCCATATTCTTATGGTACGAATTATAACATGGGAACTGGATGCGGTTTGACAGGAACAGGGCTATCAACAGGTTGTGGTACAACTAATATATTTCCGTACAACTTTGGTAATAGTTATGGTAATAGTTTTGGTACCAGTAATACCGGATACTATCCACAAATGACCGGTTGTTCGACAGCATTTAACACTCGGTGTTATTGTGGAACCGGTTATTCACCATGTAATAATGGTGCTTTATGTTGCAAAAATAGCAATAATGGTTTGATGATACGTTGAAATCACTATTTCTCATATAAATTCATTTCCAATCTCTATTTATTGAATATTATCTTCAAAAGAAATTGTCTCTCTTCTAATTAATGCCATATTTTTAAATTTAATATTTCATTTCTGGAAAAATTTGTTTGATTTAGTTATTTGAGAGTGATAAAAACTTTAAAATATTTATAATTAGATTAAGAATGTCTTTTTTTTTTTACATTTACTGGATTAATTAATAATTATGATAAATTGAATTTAACCTGTTAGTTCCTAAAATATATTTTCCGATTCTTTTATATCATTTCATTCGCCGCCTTTTTGTTTACTTTTTTTTATCAGTCCAAAATAACTAAATCAAACAACTTTTTCCAAACAATTTATGAAACTAATTACAAAATTTAGCAATTTAAATGCAAATTAGAATTCATACTGTACAACTTTTTTTTTTTTTTTTGTTTCATGTATAAGTAAAATACATTTAAAATGTTTACATATTTATTCAACGTAGACAATTTACAGCTGTAAAAATTGGCAATTAATTTGAAAATAATTAGTGCAGAGAAACAAAAAAGTTTGTTTCTAACGTTTTTTTTTTTCTTTTTTTTTTTGTTGGATGAAATATATTAAATAACATCAAAACATTATAAATAAAAATTTATGGATACAAAAGTTCTATTAATTTAATTCACTTTCATTAACTTCAATCAAAACAAGACTATGTGATAAGATGATAGTGACAACAAATTTGAAGCATGACAACTTTAAAATTTAATAAATTTGAAATGCTCTATAAAATTTTTAAAACTTTCAATTAACTAATTTTTGCCTGCTATTATAATAATTTATGAATCGTTTTCGGGCAAAACTTAAGCAATTTTTCCACCTTTTCAAATTCCATGCTAATATTCTTGATAAAACCATATCATTAAAATCTTCTAAAGCATTCAAAAATTTAATTCAAAAATTATTTGAATAAATAAATTTTGTTGTTTTAAGTTATGATTTAAATAACATATTTCCAAAAAAAAAAAAAAAAAAATCTGTAATTTAAATGCAATAATTTTATGCAAATTTCTCATTCTTTTTTTTTTTTTTTTTTAAAAAAAATTATGTTTTAACAACTTTCTTTCCTGAAAAAAAATATTTACGAATAAAACATATATGTATTTGAAAACAATGAGAAAAAATAAAACTGAAATTTTTGAGATTTTGCAACAAATTTGTAAAATATTAAAGTTAACGACTAAATTAATTTTTCAATTCTGGCTTGTTTTTCATCTGGCGAATAAATGAGGCCATTGTATAAACGATAGAAGCATTCATGACAGTATGGTTTTCGTTCATGTTCTCGATAAGTGCCACGTAAATTTAATGCCTAAAAATCAATCAATTTAGGATTTAAAAAAAAAAAAGCCAACCAATTTATATTTACTATTTTTTGTTCAATTATTTCAGTGATCACTGACATTTATCAATTTGTTTGGATAAAAAAAAAAAAAAAAAAAAAAAAGAATTGAAATTTTGAAAAATGAATAAATAAGATATTAAAAAAAAAAGATTTTTTTTCTTTCAATAAAATCAATTGTTCATTTTAAAACAAATTTTAGCAAAAATAAGCAATAAATGCATAAAAATAATTGAATTTAATTAATATTATAGCAGATCTCAAATTTTTACAATATTTTAAACATAAACTAATAGATACAATTACTTTCTGCAATCGTTCATTTGCATTTATATTTTTGAAAAAAAAAAAAAGAGATAAAAGCTTATTTGACAAATTTTAATTAACCTTTACCTTTTGACAATAAGTACACATGAAATGATAGGGATGGAACTTTTGTGCATAATATGAATTTGGTGCTAATGCTGTTATAATTGGACCATCAATTTTTTCTGAACAAAATGCACAAATTGCTGCTGAACTGGCTGGTGAACTCTGTAAAATATTTCATCTTCCTTTTTTTTTTTTAAGAAAAAAATTCAAATTTCAAAAATAACTGAACTTATCTTAAAATTAAACATGAATTTCAAAAATAACTGAACTTGTCTTAAAATTAAACATGAATTTCAAAAATAACTGAACTTAAAAAAATGAATTTCATAACTGAATTTTAAAAAAAAAAAAAAAAAAAAAAAAAAAAAAAAAAATAAAAAAAATTAAACATGAATTTCAAAAATAACTGAACTTGTCTTAAAATTAACATGAATTTCAAAAAAAAAAAAAAAATTAGAAAAATGCCATTAATTTTTTTTTTTTTTGATTTGTTTATTAATTTATCTTTCCTCACCTCAATATTAATCATCCGTCGTGGTGTTTCAGATCGGGCACGTTTTTTAATACTATTCCTATAATTAGAATTAAATTTTGTTAAGCATTACTTATCATTGTTTTTTTTTTTTTGCGTATTCTCTTACTTCTAGGAAATTTTAATTCTATTTTTAAAAGTTTTTCTAAAATTTGAAAGAACTTATCTGCTAATTCCAGAAAAAAACTTACCTAAAATTTTAAAAAACATACATGAAAAAGCAAAATTTAGGATAACTTACATTTGCGATTCAGAAATGTCAACACCATAATCTCGAGAAACTCGTTCCAATGTAAAATTATTCTCTGTTGCTAAAATATATATATAAAAAAGAAAAAAACTAACTAATTTTCAATCTAACAAATATTGTTTTTTGTAAAATGAGGATGAAAAAAATCCAATAAATAAATTTTAACAAGCAGTAAGTAATTATATAAAGCATAAATACATTAAGTGAATGAATGAAATATTTAATAAAATAGATAAAAAAATTTTTTTAAAGATAATTGAGCAATGAAATAAATTTATAAATAAACCATGGTGCTGTTTTGGTGATGGAATAGGTATTTCTTCTTCCGGTCCAGGTGTAATACGTAAATTGTATCCAGTGATTACTTCCTGTAAATTAATAAATTAGTTAGTTATTGTATTTAATCTGAATAAGAAACATTTACCACTTATAAAACACTATATTTAACTATTTTTGTTCATTATAATTTAAAATGTATTTAATTGAAAAAACAAATGAAAATCTAAAAAATTGAAATATTACTATGAGATGTAGAAAAGAAAATTAACCTTCAACTGTCATCAGATAAGCGCCATGTCAACGAAAGCTCCAGAAAATTTCAAAAAAAATTTTTTCTATATTCAAACTTAAATAATTTAAATTTAATTTTAATCAAAAAATCAGATTGCCTTTCCAAAATTTGTGGTAGGAATTTTATTTTTACCTCTCCAGTGGTTTGCTTCTTTTTCATTGAACCACGTCGTAGTACTTCAGCGGTAGCATCAATATCATACACTAATGCAGCCAAAGTGTCCGTTACAGCATTTTGCTCTTCAAAATTTACTTCATTTAATTGTTTTAAATTAAATTTCATTCAGCTAAATTAATTAGCAAATTTTAGCAACTAATGATTGACTAATTAATAATTAAATTATTAATGATTTTGCATAAAATGCACTTAAATGTAGCGTATGATTTGGAAATAGATTGTTAGATTTGAATTAAATTAATTGTAATCTTCACATATGAAAAGCGATAAAACATGAATTATCAAGAATACTTCAAGCAGCTAGCGATTTAAAAATATTATCACTATAAAGTGATAAAACATGAATTATCAAAAATACTTCAAATAGTTAACGATTTAAAAATATTATCACTATAAAGTGATAAAACATGAATTATCAAAATAGTCAACGACTTAAAAGTATTATCACTATAAAGTGATAAAACATGAATTATCAAGAATACTCTAAATAGTTGACGATTTAAAAGTATTATCACTATAAAGTGATAAAACATGAATTATCAAGAATATTTCAAGTAGTTAATGATTTAAAAGTCACTTTTTTTGCTACACTGTACTAATACTTGAAAGAAAGAAAATGTTTACTTTGATCGCCTTTAAGCTTAGTAAGTTCCTTTTGCATATCTTCAGTGCTTACAGATTTAAGCCGTAAGATATTATCGGTTGGTTCCACCGAAATTCTTCCACTCACTTCCATTTCCGTTTGAAACGACTTTCTTCCCATAACCCAAAATTAAATATTTACTTTTTTTTGGAGCAAATTAGATTTCTATTCTACTAAGGTTTTGAAATAAGTTAAAAAAAAAAAAAAAAAATAAGAAAGTTTGGGGGTATAAAAATTAAAACAATATAAAATTTACTATTTTTTTATTCCGTATAGTAAAATTTTGCAAAAATTTTCATTTATTACTGTGTAATGAGAAAATGTTTATAAGAGCGTTCACATTTGTATTTGAATTTAAATTGGAGTATTTGCATTTGCAAACGGAAGGTAAAATGTGAAAGCTGAATGAAAAATTAAAAAAATAATGGAATTATAATTTTTTTTATTAACAAAAAAATTTTTTTTAATTGAAAAATTTTTCACTTAAGAGAAAAATTTCCTGCAATGAAGTAATAATTGAAAAAAAAAAAAATGACTGAATGATAAGTTAATAATGAAATGATAAAGTGATAAAAACAAATGTCATACATATTCATTTTGCTTCCGTTGGATCAATTCTGTTGTTGCATTCACACTATCAACCATTGTGTTCAATGTATTATGTATAGTACCACTATCTGAGTATGAATAAATCTTTTGATTTCAAAAATCAAATATTTATAAAGTTAAAAAAAACAGTAGTAGAAAAAAGTTTCAATTTATTGCTTAGCAAAAGTATAACTTCGCTTATCTTTTTTTTTTTTCTATTTCTATATTCAATATTTTTGTGTACAAAAGTTGGCTAAGAAATAAAACAATTTTTAACTTTAATATAAAAATTAACATTTTTATTAAGGAAAATTGTGAAAATTAATCCAAAAATGATTGAAAGTAATTTTGGAATGTTTTTAGAAAAAACATAAATAATTAAATTGTTTATTTTTCTGAGAAGTTTTAATTCTAAATTTAAATTAAAAATTTCTTAATTAAAAATTTTTTATTAAAAATTAAAAAAATTTTTTCAGTGAAAAGTTTTTTTTTTTCAGTTTTTTCAGTGAAATTTTTTTTAAATTAAAAAAATTTTTTTTTCTCAGTGAAAAATGCTTTTTATCAGGAAACAACAGTTAAAAACGAACGATCAAGTGGCACATATCGGCTAGATGCTCGTGATTCGGATCTATCAGATCGTTCAGATCGCCACTGTGACTCATTTGGTAGTTGAACGGGTGAAATAGATGTCATCTAGCTAAAATGAAAACATTTTAAATACGAACGATTTAATTTCAAAACGAAAAATAAACAAAGAATACACGCTGAATCAAATATATAAGAAAGTAATAAGTATAAAAATAAAACAAAATATAAAAAATATTTCAAATGCATTCAGAATTCTAAATTTTTACAATCATTGAATTACTAACGCAGTTATTGTGAAAATAAAATGATAATCACATTTCACGTAATATCTGTAATATTACGTGAAATGTTAACTTATAAAAATTGACAAATAAAAAAAAAAATGTGAGCATTATATTACATTTATCTAATAATAAAGATATTATCCATCATTTCCTTTTTTCCAAAAAAAAAAAAAAAAAGTAGGAAAAATAATTTTGATAATAGTTAAATATCAGAAATTGTTAAATATTGTTAAGATAAAAAGCAAAAGAATGAAAATGAGTTTTATCATTTGCAAAAGAGAAAAATGAAATTTCAAAAGTTCACACAAATCAATAAATCGATGTTATTTTATCAATTTAGTGTACAAGTTAAAAAAAAATCATCTCAAAGGAATTAATTAATCATTAATTCATTGAGATGGAAATTTTCAACATGCAAAAAGTATCGTTGTGTAAATGGCAAGAATAAAATTCTAAGTTTTATTAATTATAATTTATCGTTTGTTTCATTTTTATCGAATTCTTTAAAAAATTAATTTTTCATTTTCCAGCCATTTTTCATAGAAATTTAGCATGATTTTATTTAATATTATTGATTTATCTTGTCATTTATTCGACTATTGATCTATTAAACTATTAATTAACTTATTGATTACTTACTCATTCATCTATTTAATTAGTATCATCATTCTCATATAACATTTCTTACAAAACAACAACTTTTTCATACTTTTTGCAAAATTTGTTCATTTTTTTTTTTTAAAAAAAAAAAATGGTTTTTAAATATTTTAAATATTTTTGAACAAATACAATATAAAATAAAATTTATTGTTTTGCGAAAGATTCATAAGAGAACTAAAATTCAGTTAATAAAACATCCTCAGTAAAAGTGAAAAGTGCAAAGATAAGGAAATAAACAGGTAATTGATGGAATTTTATAAGATATTTTTTTTATATAAAACTTATACGAAGTCTATTATTAAAAAAAAAAGTATTAAAAAGTGTCACAGATATTAAAAAAAAAAAAAATAATTCAGTTTGATTTTTTTGTGTTTGGATTTTTCACTTTCACTGCTTTATTTTTTTTAAATCACTTTAATTGTTTTATTAATTATTATAACTAATCTATCTAAAACCTTGATATTTCTTTCGTTTTTTTTTTCTGCAATTAAATTAAAGAGCTCAGAAAATGAAATACCAAAACTGAAAGATTGTGTGATATTATATTTATAATTAAAAGTGCATATCATCAGTTAATTAATTACTAGAATAAATAATGCATAAAGTCTAAACATCTCTTTTAAATTTTTACACTTATTCTAATCAACCACTATTTTCACTACATTTTTTGCTTCATTAGGAATAATTTCTAATAATTCACTTTATCTAGTATATTTCTTCCAGTTATGATATATTATGATATTATTATCATTAATAGCAATTTTGGAACAAGGAATTTTAAATTGATGAAATAAAAATATTTGAATATTAAATTATTTGATTTTTTTTATTTGAATTTGAATATACTAAGAATATTAAATTGATGAAATAAAAATTTTAAGTTAAATAATTAATATATCTCGATATTTATATACATAGAATGGCATAAAATTATAACATAATAAATAATAAATTCAATAGGTACCTAATAGGTTATGTCATAAAAATTGCTTATAATTTGAAGCATTCTCTTGTATTTAATCAATCTAAGGTGTCTAAGGTGCCAACTATTGGTACCAATTCTTTCGAACAATCAATACAACCATCTAACCTACCTTTTATTTAGATTTAATTTTAGGTTGCCAATCGTGGATAATATCTTTTCAATATACATTTGCATTTAACATCTTTTTATATTACTCAAATAGAAACAGGTAATGTTGATTGATTTCTTTCATATCTTTACAACAATAATTTGTGAATGATACGAACGATGGTGACAAAAAAGTGACTTCCAGAATTTTAAACTTTTTTCTAAGAATTGATAATTTGTTCGAGTCGAAAAAAAAAAAACTCAACAACTAATCGAAAAATACGAAATACATTTTTAAAAAATATATAACTGTTAAATTATTAAAAAAAAAAAAAAAAAAAAAAAACATTTTTTTTTTCGTTCTTGTCAAATTAAAAAATTTGAAGTATAAAGCATTTCATAATGAATGTTCAGTAATTCCAAGATTTAATTTGTTTCGTGAAAATTTTCTTTTACATATGGCAATACTTTTTTAAAATATGATCTCATTTTTGCAAAAAAAAAAAAAAAAAAAAAAAGAGAAAAAAGAAAACTAGACAAAAATAAGAAATTAGATTTTATAATTCAAATGTGAAAAACTAAACGTTTTATTGTTAATTGATAGAAATAAGCTTAAAATGAAAGAAAAGGAAAATATGAAAGTTCAAATAGCTAAAAGCTAAAAAACAATTTTCAAATTTTTTTTTCATGTTGACAATAATGAATTAAAATATTAAAGCAAATAAAACTCAAAAACATAATAATGGAAACATTTAGTAAGCAAAGGCAACAGAAATTAGTAAAAGTTAAAGATTTAATTGATGATTAAACTATTTAGATAGATATCACAGCTAATATTAATGAAAAGTGACGAAACTTTCTTAAAGCTGAGCAGTTGAATGATTGAGAAAAAGGGAGAGAGAGAGAGAGGGAAGATGAAAAAGAAAGGAAAAGGAAACTGAAAGAGATTAAACTGTAACAATAAGCCAATAATAAAAATAATCAAAATTTTTGGAAATTGTTTACATATATATCGAGAAGTAAAGAAAGACAGAAGGATTAATAGATTATCACACCAATTAATAATTGAAATCAAAGTCAATGATAATTGAACTTTTCTCAGGCAAATTTAATTATGTCATAAACAAATATTGTTAGCAATCAAAAAAAAAATAATAATAATTTTTAATACAAATATTTGTGACAAAAATTCTCAGAGCGAATAATAAAACTACAGCTGCGAAGATTAAGTATACACACTTATATTTCACAAAGTTTCAGCTTACTTCAACATAACTTCGCTTCTTCCACTCATCTATCTATTTCATCCTTCCCTAACTTCGCCCACTCCATTTCTCTTTTAACTTTACAGCTAATCTCTCTTTTAATTTAGTTTACAGCAAATAACAACAGCTTCTTCCTTTCCTCTCTTTCTAACTGATCATTTCTCACTCTTTTCAAAATATTTGTTAAAAGAAGAAAAGAATTGAAGAATGTATGCTTGAAGAATACATGCAGTAATAAAGGCTGTCAATTAGTTTCTTAAGTATGAAAGAGATTTTCATTATTAATGGAAAATTGGAAAAAGTTTAGTTTATTCGTAAAATTAATAAAATACCATTAATGAATGATCATATTATTATTCATAAAAAACTATCTTTCATCATTGTTTATTATTGTACAAAATTGTTGCGAGTAGTTTCTTTACTTAAATATTTGTTATTTTAAGAGAATTTTACATTCCAACCATCAACAAAGACTTAAGTAAGAAACGATTATTGATTTTTTTATCACTGAAAATTACTCTTTTAATTATCAGTTTGATTTCGGAATAGCATAAATGCTTGCATTTTTTTTTTAAACACATCGAAACAAACATTGATTAAGTAGGAATCTTTCATTTTTAAAAGAAAACAATGGAATTCTTTTTAATGTGGTGTCAATTTGCTATCATTAAATCGTTTCAGTTTTAATTTACTGAACCACACTTCTCTTTATGTATTGAAGACTCACTTTACACCATCTTTCTACTACTAAATCATTTCTTAAAATAGTATCAATAATTAATTGTCAACTTGCATGGTCACACATATACGATACACTAAACTTTCAGTCTTTTTCCATAATTTTTTTAAACAAAGTTTATGTTATAATCAAATAGATCCTAAGCTATCGCTTGACATTATAATCCAAAAATATTTCTTCTTTTGAAGAGACTGTTTTATTCAAGCAATCTCGAATTGTTAAAAATTGCTAAAGCTTTAAATTAGTTTCACTACTATGGATAGATTTTTAATTTATAATTAGTAAAATTGAAACAGTTTAGCTTATTTGAAAAAATGGTAACAAAATTGCAGTCATTAATAAGAGCTAATATATTAATTAACAATCGCTTATATGTTATTTCTTTTCCTTATTTATATTTAAATTTTAAAATTTATCCAAAAAATTTGAATTCTATGAAATGAGGAACAGAAATTATGTTAAAAAAAAGTGAGAAAATATTACGACAAGTTTTTTTTTAGCTAATTTTTTTTTATGTAAATATAGATTTCACATATTTGCACAATTTTATCCAAATATTTTAGGCATAAATAAATAAATAAGTATTGATTACTTCGTCAGTCCTCACTAATTCAATACCACTACAAAGTGTATTTTCTATAGCTAAAATATGATAATTACAAATGCAAATGAATTATATTATTTTAAATTTCTTCTTGTTTTTTTTTTTTTTTTTTTTCCTTTTGAACTGAAGCGATACGATTTTGTTGAGGTAGTAATATTTAAATTTCCTATATACATTGCTGATAGTATATATTTAGAAGGTGATAAAATAACTGGTAATGATAAGTGATAGCTGATTTTGCGAATTTTATCTTCAATGTATTTTAAACTTTTATGTATTTTAATTTTTATTTTAATTTTTCATCTTTAATGCATTTTAATTTACGCTATACCAGTCGCAGTTAAAATGTAATAATTTATTTGCATTTGAATTGTCATATTTTAGCTATTAGAAAGTACATATGTGATAAATCTTATCTTAGTGAATTCAAAGTTTAATTAAAGCAAATTAATATTGAAATTCAATTTAAACTAATTCATAGAAATTTAATAATTCCTGAAATTTGTTAGATATTATCTAATAGATAGTAACATTTTTATTTCTTATCCGTTTTAACACACATTAAATGAAATGAACCAAAATTATTAAACTTTTTTTTTTTTGATTTTTTAAATTTCTTTCTATTTTTTTTTTTTTTTTTTTTTTTTTTTGAGAGGAAGTATGATCAAACAGAAAGGTATGCAATAAGAAATGCTGGAATGTTTGCAATTAACAGGAATAAAATGAATAAAGAAAAATCGACTAACATAAATAAGGCTAACAAGAAAGCTTGCAGCAAACAAAACTGCTAAAGATTATGTTACATCAACAATAACTAAACTGGTTTTTTTTTTTTTTCCAAAAATTTAAGAAGATTCAAAAACTGGAATGAATCAAAAATAATTTAAAATTTTTAATGAAACAGAAGATACCTATGGTCTTATTAATCAGCAATATATTATAGTTATACTTCAGAAGTCAAAAATTAGTCACTTTCATATTGTTGAACATTCCAAACAATTATCCTATTTTTATAAAATGCTTAAAAAAAAAAAGCATTATCAAAATTTTCTTATATTTTATAAAATATTTCCATAGTAAAAAGTGTTAAGTAAGAGGAGGAATTATTTCTTAAAATTAAACTTATAAATAAATGCATAGAGATGTATCGCTGCAGGAAAAAGAAGAAAAAAAATGATATTAATAAAAAATTGTTAAAAAAATAGTAATTTTTGTTGAAATTTAATTTACATATTCCGTTTATATTTATATAATTTGTGTATTTTCAATTTATATATTCCCAATAAACGCTTTTGTAAACTTTTTTATAAAAAAAAAAACTGCGAAAATTTAATAATAATTAGAACTACATGAGCAGTTGTTGAGCAAAATAAGTTGAACTATAGAATTTTTAATTCTGTTGTGCGAAACTTTTTGAATGTACCAAAATATTTTACATTTTACTATTGCTTCACATCAAATCCAATTCAGACTCATTTTAATTCTTATAAAATAAAACCTATGCAATTTTAATAAATGATTTTCAATGTCAGAAAATTCTTCAGAAAATTTTTCTGTATTTAAATGGGTCTGTGCAAATTTTTTATAATTAATCATTATCACCATCTTTTCTTTGCAATAAGATATTCTTAATAGTTCAGATATCTAGTATCAATATGATCATCTGGAACAAACTATCAAGACAACAGAAAGTCTTATTTTGTTATCAGTGCCATAAATGCATTATTGAATTACAGAAATTCGATAAGGGTGATCAATTCTGAAGAAATGACTAATTTCATTATTAATTGGTAGTTTTACTGAATAATAGATGCATTGATACTCTGATGAAACGAATAATTTCCTTCGACTTTTCTTTTCTGTCCATGTTGATATGATCAACTATTCTTGTCTATCATTTATGTAATATTGAATAAATAAAAATATGATTTCCTGGAAAAAAAAAAGTTGTGATAATTGCCATCGTAAGAAAGAAAATTTTTATTTGGACAAAAAATAAAACAGAGGAGAAAATAAAAAACTAAGATTTCAAAGTTTTAGAGGAAGTATCATATTGATCCGACTTAATTAAAGAAGTTTAATTCAAATAATCTTGAATAGAACAAACCGAATAATCCATCTTGTTCACGGGCAGTCAATACTACAACAATTTTCATTGGAAACTAAGACTAATTTGAAAAACAAATCTAATAAAAGTTCGCATTGTATTTGGTGTAAATATGTATTACCACATAATCGACAACACAAGGTGGCAGTTTTCATCCTGAAAAACCTCTATAAGAATTTGGAAAAAGCAGTTAAAGTATTTCCTCAATTGGTGGGATAATAATAAAAGAAAACGAATGGTACAATGGGAGCATTGTAAAATAAGCATTTATAAGAATACAAAAAATATTACAAATTGTAGGATTTTCATAATAAATCAATATTTAAATTTGAATTAAAATTTGATTTTAACTGTAATAATGAATTAAAACCATAACTAATTAAAAATTTTATTAATTTCGCTACTGAACTGTTGTTTAAAACTTAATTACTAAAGTTTATCTTATTATTTATACTGTTAAATGGCATATAAAATAATCAATTAAGTTGAAAACACTTATTGTTTTTAATGGATTAACATTTTTTAATAGTTTCAACACTTAATTAAAATAAAATTTGTTATTATAATTTGTTATTAATACCTGGACCTCGGGATCTACAAGATAGTTGTTTTTTTTTTCTGCTTTTAAGCATTTACTTGGCAATATTCGATATATATTTGCATTATACTTGATACCTTATAAAAGTGCAAGAAAAAAAAAATTTTTTTTTGAAGTTTGCAAAATTGTAGGGCCTCCTGGTATTCCCGGAAAGCCCGGAATTTGTCCAAAATGTCCAGTTGCTGAGAATTTTGAAATGCTTCGTAAAACGGAATGTCCAAAAGTTGAACCAATGCAATGTCCAACACAGATAACAGTTGACGATGAAGGCAGACCACGATACGCTGAACGTCAATTACCATATTTTGTTAGGGTGAATTGTTCTATCATTTATCTTTTTTTCATTTCTTAATTAGTTTGAAAAGAAAAATTTCAGAAATGGATGATAATATTGAAAGATTATTAACTTATGTCTTAAAAGTAAGATATTATTTTAACAGATACTTCTAAATGATACCGATGTGTTACCGGAAATTGACAAATGTATTCGCATTTGTCTACCAAATATAACAATACCATCTGATATAGATATTCCACCAACCAGCACCGAAATACCGTACATCGAAGGAGCAACAGCTCGTAAATTTTATTTTATGCAAAAATTTTTAACTTTTCAGCATTGAAATTATTGCAATTTCTCATTTTTGGTACTACGATATTCACTTTATTACTTATTTTAAAAATTTTCAATTATAGATTGTTACTTGGATGATGTTGGTAAACCAATATTTCATGCTCATTCTAATACTTATTTCGGATCATGGATGCGTGATGCTTATCCACAAAATGGAAAAGTATGCTAGCACTTTGCTTTCAAAAAAAAAAAAAATTTCAAAAAACAATGGTAATATTGGAAGAAATAATTTATTGATTGACTTCTCTGATTTTTTTTTTCCTTTACTATGAATTGAACATACTTTTTAAAATATATCATTGGCTAATTAAAGTATGAAAAAAAAAATATCATTGAATAATTAAAACATAATTTTTCTTAATACAACAAATAATTCGATTAAAGGATATGATGAAACGTTGGATGACAAAACATTTTCAAGGTGACACAGTGGAGGAATATTTAGACGAAGGTGACATGCGAAGGCAACGCGCTTTTGTCACGTTAGTTTGTGACTCATATTTGAATCCAAACAACATAATAATAATAAAAAGAAGAAGAAGAAGGAGAATAAATAATAATATGTTAAAATACAAAAAAAAAAAAATAAGTGTATCATTGACTTTTTGATTAGCTTTAGGTCAAAATATATTGATATAAGTACGTTCAACGCTACGAGCTACTTGGAAAAGTTTCAAAAAATAATTTAGAATAAAGATTTCTTTACCCAAAAATAAATTGATTTTTGGAGAATTGTTAGAAATAATTAAATTAATTTATCTAATTTAAATTTTAGTCATCATATGCCTTATCTATATGATGGAACAAATTTGATATTTTTCAATGGCTCAATATATTTCCATCGTGCTGGCACTCCTAAAATTGGCAAATATGAGTTAAGTTCAAAGGATTATAATGAAGTGCTAATTGATAAGCATGCAGCGCATAAAGGAAATAATGTAAGTTACTTTCATTTAAAAAAAATCTATGGGTATTTTTCAAAAAATTTTCTCAAACTTTTTATAAAATTTTTTCACAGTATTTTTTAAAATTTGAGAAATTTAATATGAAAAATTTCTAGTACTTATTTAACTTATCGATGAATTATTTCGATTTGGCTGTAGATGAGAATGCTTTATGGGTACTGTTTCATTATGAGGATGAAGAGTACTTATCAGTGGCTAAATTAGACATTAGCAATTTAACAATCTATGAAACTTGGAATTTAACTTTGATTAATCATACCGAAGTGGCGAATGGTTTTGTCGTATGTGGCGTACTGTATTTGGTTTGTTTAAATTTTATATTAAAATTGTTTGTTTTTTTTTTTTTTCGCGAATTATTGTTGAAAATGAAAGAATGGTAAGCTAATATTTGAAGACTTTGATAATGAAATATAACCATTAGTAGCATTTTTCATTTAAAACTTTTTTTTGCAGGTAAGAAGTTCATATGATTTAAAAAGTGAAATAGCAATTGCATATGATCTCTATCGTAACAAATATCGTGAACCAAATATTCATTGGATTAATTATATTTATTGGATTAATTAGAAAAAAGACATAATTTGAACTTAATTGAACATTTTCTATGCTCTGTATGGGCACTGGTCACATTAGGTGTGGTCATTTTTCAACTTAAATAATTTTAATAATTAAGTTTTAAACATTATTTTATTAAAATTAATTAAATTTTTAAACAGTGATAGTTTTAAATCATTTTTGCAATTAAAAATAAATTTTAATTCAAATTTAAAATATTAATATTAAAAAAATGTTGCAAATTGTATTGGTTTTTGTATATAGAACTAAAAAATAAGTTCTTGTATTAGCAAATTTCAATTTAATTAAGTGTTTAAACAACTAAATAATATAAGTTAATTTGAAAAAAGACATAATTTGAACTTAATTGAACATTTTCTATGCTCTGTATGGGCACTGGTCACATTAGGTGTGGTCATTTTTCAACTTAAATAATTTTAATAATTGAGTTTTAAACATTATTTCAGCATTAAAATTTTTTAAATTTTTAAACAGTGAGAGTTTTAAAATATTCTCGGAATTAAAAACAAATTTTAATTCAAATTTAAAACGTTAATATTAAAAAAATGTTGCAAATTGTATTGGTTTTTGTATATAGAACTAAAAAATAAGTTCTTGTATTAGCAAATTTCAATTTAATTAAGTGTTTAAACAACTAAATAATATAACTTAATTTGAACTTAATTTAATATTTTCTATGCTCTGTATGGGAACTGGTCACATTCGGTGTGGTCATTTTTCAACTTAAATAATTTTAATAATTGAGTTTTAAACATTATTTCAGCAGCAAAATTAATTAAATTTATAAATAGTGATAGTTCTAAATCACTCTTTCAATTAAAGTTAATTTTTAATTCAAATTTAAACTTTTGATATTAAGAAAATGATGCAATTTGTATTAGTTTTTGTATATAGAACTTAAAAATAAGTTCTGTTATTTGCAAATTTCAATTCAATTAAATGTTTAAACTACTAAAGAATTTTATGTGTAATGATTGTTAACGAATAAAAATTATAAAAATAGATTCATTCTCAACAGATTCGTTTATACAAACTCCAAGTCACAACCAAAAAAAAGTTTTCTAACAAAGGCCTATACTTTTGGATCTAAAATTCTTGGATTTGTTATTGTTTTCCTTGGATTTCTTTGATGAGTAATCTTTATGCATTTTATATGTTTTATTTCTCACAGAAATTTTATGGTATCCTTGGATTATAGTAATTTTAGTTTTATTTATAGTTTCTTACAGCAAATTTTTCTTTGATTTTTCTTTATTGGAATAATGCTTAATTCATTATTTACGAATAACTAATGAAGTATTCATCAGAGTATGTAATTTAAAAATTTTCCAAAAAATTAATCTCAGAATTAGCAACTAAGATAGAAAATATTTTCTAAGTATATACCTTATTTTTATTTAATATTAAAATTATTGCAAGAAATAAACTTCATACATAATCGGGAATTGAATTTAGATGAAATACTTACTGGTCGAATTTTGTTGAAGAGTTGAATTCAATGCTACTGTAAATTTCTAATTTTTAATTTTTTCATTTGTGATACTCTTTATTGAACTTAATGAGAATAATCAAACATTAGAAGATGTTTAAGCTAACAGTAGCAAAAGTCTTCAAAAATAACAGAGCTTAAAATTTTTGGACAAAAAAGAAAGATGAAATTAATTTCAACTTATAATCAGAATATGTCCGATTATATCGTATTGCATTGAATCATTCGTATATTGTAAATAAATAATTTTGCTTTCAGAATTTCATTTATACTAAATTAATTTTTATAATACAGCGAAATATTTCATTAATTAAAAAATTATTCATTCTGTAAAAGTTTAATTTCAGAGATTATTAGTGCAAAATATTATCACAGATGCGCTAATTAATTAACTAATTAATTCTTCAATACGCTGTCGATTGCAATAATCGCAGATAATTCTTTGAAATGAATTTTAAATATTTCAGTTATTCCATCTTCCATTATTTATACAACAAATTTTACGGGAAATAAAATTATTGTAATGAGGAAGTGTGAATGATTTGCAACGTTTAATTTAACAATGTAGAATTAAAAATTCATAATGATTTATAATTTTTCATAAATTTTATTTTAAATTCAGTGGAAGAATTCTTTCTTCTAAATGAAGTTTGTAAAAACGTTTATTAACAATCATTTCTTTAAAAAGGTTCTAAATTTGCCATAAAATAATGGGTATAAGAAAAGAATTATAATTTTCATTTAAATTCATCCAGAAAAAACAAAAAAATTGAATTATGAAAATAAATCGAATTGTTGAAAAAGGAGAATAATTTTAGATTGTTTCATTTAATTTTATTATGTGATCGGATGAATAAAATACAGAAAGTATTTTCTTTAAAATTAAATGAAACAATCTATACAAATGGTTAGCCAAGTAATCAAATAGAAACAATGCAAATATGTCAAATGAGCCAAATGTTTAGCCACGAAGAAAAAAAAAAGTTATATCGAATAAAATTTAAAATTTCTTAAACTTGATTTTCATTTTCAATTTTTTTTACACCGTGACTGGTAATTTGATATTGGTACATTTTAGATAGTTGGCATTTATTGGCCAACAAAAAAAAAAAAAGAAAAAAAAATTGAGCAGAGCAGTTCAACTATAAACTCTACTATACGTACCAATAGCTCTAAAAAATTCCATAAACTAATTTAGGATAAAATTCTCTGATATTTCCCACATTTATCATTATAATAAAACCGGATTAAAGTACTTTCTGAAACGATACAATCAAGCTAATTAATCCGAATTTCCTTGTCGAGCAATGACTTTCGACAAGAGAATACAAATATGCACTAATAGTACCAAAAGCATCATCGATACTTCTCAAAATACCTAACTATGATGCTGATAAGTCTTGTATTTTTGCATAAGCAACGGTTATCCGAAAAAAAAAAAAAAAAATGACAAAAAATGCTATTTTTAATTCATAATTTTAATCATTCTATGTTTATAAATTACTGTTATTATTTCATTTCATTTTTTTTCTTTTCGAATAATTTTAAAAACTTCCAAAGCATATCAACAAATAAAAGTAGAAATTGATTTTATTAATTGTATTTAGCAAAATTTCTCGAAAGAAAAAGAGTACGCCATCAAATCTAAGCACAGTCATATACAATTAAGTAAAATAATATAGGCCATTTGACAAATGTATGTTGAACGAAAACCTGGATATTTCTTGCAAGATTCAATCTTTCTTGTTTGTCTGAAAAATTTCAAAGTCTCAAATTAGTTCAAATAATAATTAAACATTAAACAAATGTTGTTTGTTTCGTTTAGAAAAAAAAATGCTGCTTAATTAAGTAGTTAATTTTTTCAATTACTTAGATAGGATTATGAAAAAGGAAAGATGTTGTTGTTGTTGTTGTACTGAAAAAAATAAAAAAGAATAACTTTGGGAAGAAAAAACATTCAAACAAATTGATCATTGATTGAATTAATTAATCTTTTCTTTATTAATTATTCACTCATCATAATTCTTTCACTTATACATCCTATCAAATCTCTCTTCTCTCTCTCTCGCGATATGTCTTAATTAGCCATATCTTATCACTAATCACTAATTCATACTGGATGATAATTTTTATTTCTTGTTTGCCATTAATTATTGCAAAGTGCATAAAAACAGTGATAAAAGATTAATAATTAAGTAATTTGGTATTACTAAATACAATTAATAAAACCAATTTGTATTCTCAAATTTTGCTAATTTTTTCACTCGAATACAAACTATTCAATTCATCAATGATCATTGAATTCGTTAATATCTGTAACTTCTTTACATTTATAAATATTCGCTGTGAATAATTTTCATTTTTGAAAGTACTAATATGAACCAAATTGATTATAATTGTGATGATTAAGTCTCCTGACGCACAGGTGGCACGTTTGATTTCACGTTGTGATCAATAAATGAAGGTCACATTCAGGTTACTTTTGCAGATTTGCAGATTGCTCTCCTCCTTATAAAATTGATTTAATCAGCAAAATCATTTCATCATATCTATCTATTTGACATATAAATTAATTTTAAAAATCATTCCTTAGAAAATAATTTTTTTTTCTGCTTCATAATTTTTAGTATTTATTTTATCAGTCATTTCAGAAAATACTTAAAGTAACTTACTTTCAGTTAATCAGAAGAAATAATTGATGTTATTGCAATAAGGTCATGTGACACGATCATGTTAAACGCCGTTTCACTCTTGATAGCTATAAAAATCCCTTGCTACTTTGCCTCTAAATTTCTTCTTTTTTAAAACATTCAAAGAATAGATATGGAGTAATTTAATAAATGAAATAAGGATAGATCTAAAATCTAAAAGTCAAACTACGTATCTCACATGATTCGATTGGAATGATTTATTTCACATTTCTTAAGTTAAACCAATCAACATTAATTCATTTCAAGCAATTAATAAATACTATCGGCAGTGAAGTTTTAAATGGAATAATCACTAATAATTTAAATATTCTTTTAACCTAATTTACATTTGTTGACGTTGAGGAGCACTACTGGTTCACCAAACATCATCACTATGTTTCATTATGCAACTTGCTTCACTGAAATTTATCGTGGATTCAGTTAATTAAAATCAGCATTTCAATAATTAACCAATTTTAATTCACTTCGTTCCACTTAATTAATGTGTACCTCTTTTGAGGACTGTTAATGTCTTCAAGTCAATGCTAAGGTTTAAAAAGATCAATTTCATATTTAAGTTCAAATTTTTTAAATTCTTACTACTAGTAATTTTGCTTTTTCTATTATTTTTTAAAATCAAAATTTACTTTCATTAATAATTGCTAATAAATAAATTTACCAGGAGAGAATGACAAATCTCTTTTAGCAAGTTCGGATACTGCACAGTAAACTCTGATGATAACATATACTTCCATAAATACTGATAACGAATTCCATACTGCAAACAACTAGTCGAATTGATAATATCAGCT